GTACAACCCAATTAGGGTTAGTACTTGTACCAACTTTCTTCTCAATTCAATCAGTCCCTCGTCTAGTTTCTGACACGCTCCTCGCTGAGCTGGATGACATGACGGGCAACACGGCTGCTTGCGTCCACCCCTTCAACTGTCACCTTCTTGCCAGTGTCCTTGAGCCGTGCCAGGAATGGCGATAGATGGTTGCTCATCCCCGCCCCGAACGTGCGGTCGTAGTCGATGTATCGGTGCTGTATGTAAGACACCACGCGGTCCACCTCCTTCGAAACTTGGGTCACTTCCACCTAATTGGAGGGGTGGAAGAAGAACATACTCGTATTTAGTGATTGTGAAAACAATTAGTTAAATAACTTTAACAAAAGTTCAGGGACTTACTTTCCGCTGCTGGAAAAAGCGGTTCAGCGAATTCATCTCCCCCAAGATGTCTGCCGGAAAATACAGACAGAAGTGGTACTTCAAAGTCTGCACCACTGGCGCGATCTTGTGATTCCACTTCAGTAAGACAACGATCGCCGCCCCCAAGATCTTGACCATGCGCAAAATTGCATCACCACGGGAGAGCCAACGCACGTGGTGCAGTCCACGGTGCTCGAGGTTGGTGCTGTGGATCACTTGTTGCAACTCCTTGAACCTCTCGTGCCAGGGCGTGGATTTTCCCATGATCTCGCCAACCGCCCTGTTCGACTTATCCACAATCGCCAAGTCACGGAATTTCTCCACCGATTCTTTGACAGCCAGAGCTTCACTGCACGAGTAAGTAGACAACACTTGTGAAAGTAGGTTATTAAGTACAGTGTGATAAAAGTTTTGAAGATAGACTAACCTGCAATCAAATTTAATAGTACGTACCGATGCGCAATGCAGTGAACCCCGACCAGATGGGGGATGTGCAGCCACAGTCTTGTCACAAGGCCTGACGTGCCACCGATCATCACAGCCGCGCCGTCGGTGGAAATCCCCGAGATCTTCTGTAAATCAATGCCAATGCTCTCGAGATGCTGGAGTAGAACTGCAAGCAGCGAGGCAGCATCACACTGTTCGACTGTTAGTAACGCGAGAAACTCGGTTACAACCACCCGGTTCTTCAGGAAAGTGGCAAACGCAATCATGTGTTTGCCACGCGCGCGGCCGGTTCTCTCGTCGCACATAATGCCGATGAAGGGTGAGGCGTGCAGGTGTCGGAGCTGCTCTCTGCTCAGGTACGTGGTCAGAGCTCTGACCACTTCCGCGAAACCGTTCCTGACACAAGATGTAAACAAAAAAGGAAAACCTATTAGGATAATTAACAACACGAGGTAATGTTTTATTAAATACTTCAAACGGTGAACTCACTGGGTGATGTATACGCCGTAGCTCTGACGCGGGATGTCGGCGACACCCTCCTCCGCAAGGAACTGGACGATCTGGGGGAACATGTGGATGGGCGTGTCGGTGCGGCACACGAAACGAATGGCCTGCATGAGGCGAGCGACGCGAGAGCCTTTGGGATCGCCATTCGCGAAGTCGGCGATTTTTTTCTGATTAGCGATTTTTTACATCAAATTCGCCTGCTTCTTCATCGCGTCTTCATGCTTCATGCTGTTCTCGTGCCACCGCATGGAGCCAAGCTTCAGATCACGTCCGCCGGCGCCATTTCGGCCGCATCGCGCGTTATTCTTCCCGTGCTCCATGCACACACTGCAACGCAGACACGACTCGCCTTCGGGGGTCTTGTCAAGAATCAACCAATCGAACTTCGAGAGCCATTCCGAGGTGTAATAATTCTGAGCTTTCAGGTAAACCTTCTCTCTCTTCTCCAAGTCTGAAAGGGGACGAATGGGGGGTGGTACAGCGGCGGGAGGCGGAGCGGGGGGTTTCGGCGGCGGGGTTCCCCACTGCAGCACTTGCTGCGTCATTCGTCGCTTTTTCGGGGCCATTGATCCCGTCGACTCCGGAGTGGCGGCATCAATGACTTGGGTTGGAACCGTCGTGACCGGTTCAGCAGTTTCCTCCGTTCGCGGCGATGCCACCCATTCCTCAATGCCGTCGGAATCTGCAGCCTCAGGTTCCCCGTGTGGCGATCGACACCAGAAGTCGATACCGTCATCCGCTTCGCCACCTTCCGGGCGAGGGCGACGCACCCATTCTGTACCGCCGTCACCGGCCTCGTCATCGTCGCGCATTTGCGCCTGATGCACGCTACGGAGAAACTGAAACCCAGTCACTGGACGAGTGCTACACGATGGCCTATCATCCGGATCAGCCGCGTCTGCATCGGCGTCAGTATCCATGGTGCACGGGGCTGTGCCTTGAAACCCCACTGAGAAAAAGCTAGGCTGGTGCGATGGAGTGCTCGTCAGTGGAAAGGGAGATAATGGGAAAGAATGTGGGGTTTGGTGCTAACCCCGTCAGCCAGCCGAGCAACAGACCTTTCGCTACGCGCCGCACACAAAAGTGGGGCCGCAGACAAACCTGGTGAATGCTGCCTGTAAGGTTGGGGATGTACATCGAGTGCGGTTTACAAAAATCCAGCTAAGTATACGGTGTGTGGCTCTCAGCGTGCGCTGGCCCGAAAGATGCCCTACCAGCCAATCAACGTACAAGATGCTGCCACCACACGTGAAAACCAGAGAGATTTCCGGTGCGGTTCGGGTAAAAACCGGTAACGTGGGGATAAGGGGGGGAACGGATGTTCGGCGATACATGTATCCTCTGCACAGAGTAAAATCGGTATCCGTAAAAAAAACTCTGGGACATCAGAGGACCTAACATTACTACTCTGACAAATCAGAGAAAACAGAGCTCTCAAAAAAATTACCCAGAAAGTACGGAGTGACCTTGCAAAAACCACCCTGATTTTCAGAGAAACAGAGTCATTTACACTGATAAAAAAAGCCCTGATGCTGTGGCTGCGATATCACTCATGTTTGAATCCATATGAAGGACAAAAACACAGCGATCCATCCGACAACCACGCAACGCAAGCTCTCATGCGGCGGCATTCAATTCAACAGCCTACAACACATGGTCCAGTACATTACAATCCGGTACTCATATAGCATATACGGTATGTATGTAGCACATGACACAAGTGCCTCACATCACATCACATCACATCACATGCCCTTGCGCCCAGGGAATTCTCCCTAAGCCATGCATGTCACTGGCTGGTCGCCCCCAAGCCATCCGTGCAGCATCAGCGCACCAGCAGACCAGTGCCACACCAAGAAGCGTTGCAAGGCTGCAGTGCAGCACAGCACAGCGCAGCACGGCACAGCGCAGCACCACAACCGTCAGATGCATGTCCGATATTCAGTGCAACACCACACCTGTCAGATGTCAGTTGCGCCCCCACCCACACGCCTGGGCCCCGCAATGGAGCCACCTGGGGGACGAAGCCACTTGCCATGAGGACTGCCGTGAGGATAAAGAATGAATAAGAATAAATGCTGTGCCACCCCTCGCAGGGATGGTGCGAGCGGCAAGAGGGCCTGAATAAATTAGGTCTCCAAAGGAGTCTGGTGAATCCGCACCGCAGGTACTGACACCACCCCCCTTGTGGAAGGGGTGGTGAAGCGGAATGACTGCTGCTCCCCTTGTGCCCTCCTCCCTCCACTCCACCCTCTAATCCACCCTCCCCCACCCTCCTCTCCTCTACCCTCCTCTCCCCCACCCTCCTCTTCGAAACGTCACATTTGAAAGCTTTGGAACACATGCTATAGACTCCGCTTCAAGTCACATGCCAAGGATGACGCGCGTGTCACCCTCACCATATGCCTCCTCGCTGGGCACCACCGCACCTCACACCAACCCACCTCACAGCACCCCACCTCACAGCACCCCACCTCACAGCACCCCACCTCACAGCACCCCACCTATCAGCACCCCACCTCACAACACCCCACCTCACATCCCCCCACCTCACATCCCTCCACCTCACATCCCCTCACCTCACATCCCTCCACCTCACGTCCCCTCACCTCACATCCCTCCACCTCACATCCCTCCACCTCACATCCCCCCACCTCACATCCCTCCACCTCACATCCCCCCACCTCACATCCCCCCAGCTGGCTACGTCTTCTTGTTCTTGGTGCGCCGCACTGCTCCCTCGCCCCTGCCGCTCCCTGGCTGTGATAATGAAATACTGCTGCTGCTGGGCTGTGATAATGCCATACTGCTGCCGCTGGGCTGTGATAATGCCTTACTGCTGCTGCTGGTGCTGGTGGTGGTGCTGCTGCTGATGCCAGGGGATGGCCTGTTGGCGTCAGCTGATGGTGTGCTGCTGGTTGTGCTGGTGGTGGTGACAGGGGTGTGGGGCTTGGCGTGCGAGGCATGGCCTTAGTGGGGTGATGAGTGGGTGGGAGGCGGGGGAGGGATGCACCTGGAGTGGGGGAGGAGGGAAGAGCGAGGAGGGATACGTGAGAGGAGGGATGAGGGAGAGAGGGGCAAGGTGAAAGGAAGAAGGGTTCGACGAGAATAGTGTTCCACGGATGCTCATGCTGGTGTTTCAGGAGAGAGGATAGCATAGTAAATGTGGTTCTGGGCATGTAAAATGCATGTGAAGTGCATGTGGAATGCATGTGGAATGCATGTGGAATGCATGTGGAATGCACATGGAATGCATGTGGAATGCATGTGGAATGCATATGGAATGCATGTGGAATGCATGTGGAATGCATGTGGAATGCATGTGGAATGCATATGGAATGCATATGGAATGCATATGGAATGCATATGGAATGCATATGGAATGCATATGGAATGCATATGGAATGCATATGGAATGCATATGGAATGCATATGGAATGCATATGGAATGCATATGGAATGCATATGGAATGCATATGGAATGCGTATGGAATGCATATGGAATGCATATGGAATGCATATGGAATGCATATGGAATGCATATGGAATGCATATGGAATGCATATGGAATGCATATGGAATGCATATGGAATGCATATGGAATGCATATGGAATGCATTCAGCAGAGGTTGGAACTCAGAGACTTAAGAGGGAGAGGAGGGAAGAGGGAGCTGAAGGACTGACAGCATGGAGTGGAGGAGGTTGAAGAGCGGTGCAGAGGGGTCCAGATGCGAGTCGGTCACGACCTCCCACGCACTGTGGGCCACCTGGCAGGGAACAGGACGGGGGGAACGGGGAGGGTGCAGGGAAGTTGGGGGGGATGACCAGGGTGTGTGAGCGATGGTAGGATGGGGGAAGGGGCGACCTTTCATTCACGTGCGGAAAGGGGAGGGTGGAAAGAAGGGTGTTGTGAGGAAAAGGAAAGGAGGTGGGGGGGCGATTAGCCATTTGAAAAGGCTAGTAAAGGTGGAAACATTGGGGGGAGGGAAAGGGGAGGGGGAGTGGTGAGCAGACGGGCGGAAGGGAATGTGCATGGCTGCAAGGATGTGCCATGCCATCAACGCAACAGCAATTTAGCAGAGGCAGCAGTAGTGGCAGGTGCGAGCAGGTGAGAGCAGGTGAGAGCAGGTGGCAACAGGGTGTGGTACAGACCATGGCAGAGGCGATAGCCCCATAGGCTGCTTGCCTGGAGCACGACAGTGTCCAGTGCACTGCTACTGTGTAGAAGAGCGAGACGAGGAAGGCCGAGCGCGAGTACCTGTGGGCAGGGAGAGGAGGTGAGGGGAGGAGGTGAGGGGAGGAGGGGAGGGGAGGAGGGGAGGAGGGAGAGTAGCAGGTGAGAGTGGCATGTGTTACAGAGGATGACTGTGGTGACGGCCCTGCATGCTCAAGGCTGCATGCCTGCTGCCCATGTGCGCTGGTGCCCATGTGCGCTGCTGCCCATGTGCGCTGGAGGGAGCATCGGGGAGAGGGGCAACGAGTTTGAGCTACAATGGCTGATGAGGTGTGGTGGAGTGGGGGGTGAGACACATGTGCGACATGCCACACCATGGCAACTGTCTTAACACCATGGCAACTGTCTTAAGATCATGTAGCACCTGGCGCTGACTCACACTTTTACCTGGTTCTTACCTCTCTATCCTACTTTAGCAACCCACCCGCCCCAATGCCCCATGACACGTAGTGTTTAGCTAAAAGCGTTATGGGGATTGGAGCTTGCTGCGGTTCGAACCATTCTCAACCCCGCGCGTGCTTGACTCTTGTATGCAAACACGCGCATCTTCACTCAAGTGCATGCACATGCTTTTTTTTTTTTTAGGTATATACCAAAATCGGTCGTAACCGTGCGTGAGAAACAGCAGATCAGCTACTGTTCCAAACAAAGCTGCCTAGGGCGGGGTGATGCTCGCCCTCCGATTGGACCAAAGTGCAGCAAATGCATTTGTCCATGTCCAACTTCTGCCATCCGGCTTGATCCTCCTCAGCATCCTCTGGTCCTCCACGAAAATTTCCTGCTGCCTCTTCCGACGTGTAGCCGCAAACTTGCGAACATAAATGCGCGCATGCTGCCTGAAAGCGAACTCCACTTTCCATAAAACCCGTTGCGTCCGAAATCTTTGACCCCTGAACACCGCTTCGCACCTCTCAAGCCACAGCTGATGAAAAACAATTGACGTGAGAGTCAGCTCCGAGAACGCTGAGCTGGTCCCGGTTTTCCGGAACAGCAGGTCCCCCAACGAGACTGATGAACGACCAGGATTTAGCATGCGGAGAGCACGCCTGAGCGCCGAGGTGACCACCTGAACCCGTGGGCAGAGCAAGAGGCAATGCTCCAGCGTTTCGGGCCCCCCACAGTACGGGCAGGCGGGCTTGCTGCTGAGGAAAGCCAGGCGCTCCCCCACCTGAAGATTTAAACCATGCACCCGGATGAGCACGTCACGTGGACGGCTGGGAACAGCCAGCGAATCACGTGTCGCCACCACCCATTTCCAATTGATGTGCCTCCCCCATCGTGCAGCCCACTTCTCCTGCTTGTACGTCTGACTACGAGTCCCTTTCCACCCCTCCTTCAACCGCTTCATGGAAATGACCTGCCCGTTTTCCAAAATGTTCCGCAAGGAGGGCGAGCCAGCCGAGCAGGGGAGAACCGTCGGGAAATCCAGCCACCTTTGCCAGGGAACCGGAGTTGCCAGAAGGGCCCTCATCGCAAGCTTCGCAGGCCCACTCCCACCAAGTTGCTGAGACAAAACCGCCATAGCCCTAGGAACCATCGTGCTGTCCTCCTCCGCCTCCAGCAGATCCCCGAACCGAGTATCCAAAGGCCCGCCGCATCTTTTTTACCACCCACCGGCGTGGTCCCCTTGAGAAGAACCAACTTGTTAAACACCAATCTTTCCCACAGCAGTGCATGCACATGCAGCCTAGTGTACAAGGGCGAGTAGAGGACATGGGCTGGTTGGAAAAAACATTCTTGACGTGTCCACATTGAGCATGCCGGTTCGCGACCCAAGATCTAGACTCTAGCATTTCGAGTTAGCTTTTAAGTCGACTCAAAAGTCACCTCATGCCAGTTTTACGGTCCAAGGTCTAGTATTTCGAGTTTAGAGTCTAGGCTCCATGATCAAGGGTGTGGTGAGGCTTGATACGAACCACGAGGGGTAGAGCAGCTCGGGATGGTTGGAAGCGGAGGGGGAGACGAGGGTGAGCACTGCATCGTATATGAGGCCACCCCCACAGCCTGGCGTGCAGAAGGGGTGATAGGTAGGGAGGACGGTAGTTGAGGGGAGGGATTCAGGAGGGGAAGGAGGAAGAGACGAGGGCGAGCACTGCATCGTATATGAGGCGGACCCCACAGCCTGGCACGTAGGGCCATGGGTGTGGGAAGTAGAGGGCGGTTGTGGAGGGGGAGATGGGAAGGGGAAGGAGGGAGACGCGGACAAGCACAGCGTTGTAGATAAGGTGGCCTCAACAGCATGACATGTGGTGACATGGTGGAGAGGAAAGTGAGTTGTGGAGATGAAAAGGCATTAATGCAGGGGGTGTGCCTGTGTGGGATGCATGCATGGCAGACTGCACACAGCACACTGTCTGAGCTCCACTGTGAATCGGGCTATGAATCGCGCTCCAGAAGGTGTTCATCTTGGCAGCAGCTGCGCTATCATACGCATACTGCTCACTCTGTGGACCATTGTGCTACTAACGCCTTACTGCATCCCTCCCTGCATGTATGTATGCACACACGCCTTACTGCATCCCTCCCTGCATGTATGTATGCACACACGCCTTACTGCATCCCTCCCTGCATGTATGTATGCACACACGCCTTACTGCATCCCTCCCTGCATGTATGTATGCACACACGCCTTACTGCATCCCTCCCTGCATGTATGTATGCACACACGCCTTACTGCATCCCTCCCTGCATGTATGTATGCACACACGCCTTACTGCATCCCTCCCTGCATGTATGTATGCACACACGCCTTACTGCATCCCTCCCTGCATGTATGTATGCACACACGCCTTACTGCATCCCTCCCTGCATGTATGTATGCACACACGCCTTACTGCATCCCTCCCTGCATGTATGTATGCACACACGCCGCCCACAAAACGAACGCCCCCACCCCATCACAAGCATCACAAGAATCACAAGAATCACAAGAACACCCACATGTTGTCACACAATGAACAGCCACATGTTGTCACACAATGAACACCCACATGTTGCAGAACGACGGCACATGAGAGAGTCAGTGAAGGAAGGATGCAGAGGCGCACCGGAGAGTGTACCGATGAAGAGAGGCGTCACTATGACGTGCACTCCAAAGTGCTGCACTGCTGTGTCCACCTGGGGGAATGGGGAGAGAGAGCAGGCACAGCAGGCACAGAGGGGCAGGCACACAGGCGGAATGGAATGAACAGAGACTTGTTTACTTTTACAGTCTTATGAGGTGCCACTGTGACGTGCACTCCAAAGTGCTGCACTGCTGCATCCACCTGGGGGGAGGAGGGGGCACAGCAGGCACAGCAGGCACACGGGGGGGATGGAATGGACAGAGGAATGTTACTCTTTGAGGTATTTTGAGGCTGCTCAAAAGACAGAGACAAATTGGTTGAAATGGCTCAAAAAAGGCGCAGAGGGCAGGTGTACCCACCATGGAGAGAATGACATTGGTGCGAGCCAGCCCTGATGCCGCCTTGCACAGCACCTGAGGACGAGAAGGATGAGAACAAGAGGGAGTGAGAAGGGGTGAAAGGAGGAACTCTGCAGGCGATTGAGTTTGGGTGTGATGAGACAAGGGCTGGGGTTCGGGCGTGTGAGATGGAGTCATGCATGTGAGATGGAGTCATGCATGTGGTGCACAGCCATGCATGTTGCGTCCTTCCCACCACGAAACCTTTCATGCATGACCAACAACCCAAGGAGGTGCATGGATGGCATGGCGACATGCTTCAAGCCTCAAGCTGGCCTGTCACCTTGATGGGCTTGAGCTTGAACGCCTTGTAGCCCATGTCACGCGGACAGTAGGTTATCAACCACCTGCTCATCACACAAGCATGCACGCACGCACGCACGCACGCATGCACGCACGCACGCACACATGTACACAGTGCATCGGGTTGTGACGCATGAGGACATGGGTTGTGTGGCCTGAACGTGGGTGTGTGGCAGAGCGTGGGGTGTGTGGCGGAGGAAAACGAGACTGGGATGCATTGGAGTGAAGGAGCATGCGGTGGTGCACCTCACTAAGCATTGGACGCGAGAGGGGGAGGCCAGACAGAGCATGCTGAATTGCACCACCTCTCAACATATGTACTACCAATCTGGTTACCACAAGATGGCGGTTAGCTGACCTTGGTTACAATACAAGTGTTCGTCAACAACAAAATACTGCTGGTACCAGCTCATGGCATGTATGGGTTACTGCCGACAATACCCAGCACGTTGTGAAAGGACATATCTTTCCTGGTTCTGGTCCCTGGACACGTGAAACCAAGTGGTTACCAGCACACGGCGAACGTGGTGAGAATGATGTCCTTTTTGAGCCACACAAAGTCGCTCTGTGCTTGCGGAGAATCGCCAGCAGGAAGGGGGAAGGGAGAAGTGGGGAGAAAATGGAGACGAAGGGAGGAGAAGGAGGTAAGATTCTGGGTTTGGGTTGTTGGAAGGTGTGTGAGGGAAGCATATAGGCACATCGGTGCGCTGCTGGTAGGGTATGAAGACAAGTGAGGTGGAATGCGCGTAAGGCCATGCTGCGATGCTGCTCCTCCTCCCATCCTTCGCCCCCGCAACCATGCACAAGCAGCAAAGACTCTCTCTCATTCAACACCACAGCACCCATGCAAATCATCCCACCAGCAGCACACAACAGGCGATTCCAGGTTGAGGTTCTCGATTGTGCTGCTGAAGTGAGACCCGTGGCAAATGAGACCCGTAGCAAATGAGACCCGTGGCAAATGAGACCCGTAGCAAATGAGACCCGTGGCAAATGAGACCCGTGGCAAATGAGACCCGTAGCAAATGAGACCCGTGGCAAATGAGACCCGTAGCAAATGAGACCCGTGGCAAATGAGACCCGTGGCAAATGAGACCCGTGGCAAATGAGACCCGTGGCAAATGAGACCCGTGGCAAATGAGACCCGTAGCAAATGAGACCCGTGGCAAATGAGACCCGTAGCAAATGAGACCCGTGGCAAATGAGACCCGTGGCAAATGAGACCCGTAGCAAATGAGACCCGTGGCAAATGAGACCCGTGGCAAATGAGACCCGTAGCAAATGAGACCCGTGGCAAGAGTTTGAAGTGGGATACTGCAAAGAGCTCCTGTAATGAGGTCCTATGACGGAATCCTAACGAAATCTTGTAACGAAATCCAACAATGCAAGTGCGCAGACAGACGAGCAGCAGAAGGATAAGGCACCTGCAAGACGAGCGAGGGCAGGGAGTAGTCGCCGTAAGCCAATAGGAACGACGCCCAGAAGCTCAGCAGCCAATGACGTCGCACCGCCGGGACTCCCCTTACAATCGCCGACGTGGCGAGGGCCTTTCCGGCCACTATCAGATCGTACGGCACCGCGCTATACGCTTCCCCGATTTCGTGCAGCTGCTGGTGCGCGCGCGCGAGAACCGGCATTGCGGAGTGCAGGAGCGGCGGAAGGAGGGACTTGGCGGGAAGGAGGAGGTCCAAGGGGAGGAAGGATGAGAGGAGGGGGAGGATGGTGGAGTGCCATAGCTGTACGAAGAAGTACGTCGCCATGGCTTACTACTATGGCGAAGTAGTGCCTGTGCGACAGCCTCCTGAAATCTAGGAGTGTGTGATGTGGTGGAAAAAGCTAGCTGTGAATGGTCATTGCTACGATTGTGTCGTGATCTGTCACTCTACAGTTCTGACCAGGAAGACTGCTGCTGAGGTCATACTCGCAGTAATAAGATCGGATAATTCGGATGTGGTAACCCGCTGCGACTAGCGGTTTCCAAATCTAACCTCTGGTTCGTCTCATTCCAAAGGGTAGCGAAAAATGTCGTTCCCCACGCGGTGCAAGGTCGGGCGGGGCTGGCTTCACAAGAGAACAGGTCAGGCGAGACAGTTGGTTTGGGTTGTATTCTCTGATTTTACAGGAGCAAAAGTTCAGCGTTCATCCGAACTGGAATAAACGGGACCCCGTGAACGCGTCCTCGGGTCGACCATTTTTGTGATCACACTACCCGCAGCGCCACTTTTGTGACCATTCCAGTAAAACTACCTTACCTATTTATGGGGTGATACTTTCTAGGCTTAGAATTGATATTTATGTGTAAAATCGACCACGTGAGCAAGCGTGTCTAACTCGTAGTACAATCACTTAACGCTACCTTCATACTACCAAGTCAGCCTATTTCAGCTCAGCAGCACCCCTGACGTTATTTATGACAGCGTGACTTAACGCTCCTCATCGCGATGGTACCCGCCAGCTCCTCGTGGCTGCTCGATGCCGTCATTCGTCCCTCGCTCTCCGCCGTCCTCCCAACGGACCTCGCCGTTTCCCTCCGTCATTCCCTCCTCAATCCCCTCCTTCCTCTCTCCGACTCGCCGCATTTCACGGCGGCTGTGACGCTCGCCGAGCGGACGCATCAGCAGCTGCACGACGCCGGATTGGCCTTTCAGAGTATCCCCTTCGATCTTATCATTATTGGCCACGCGCTTGCCACGTCAGCAGCCGTGCGGATCCCCCTGCTGCGACGCCATTGGCTGCTGTGCTTCTGGGTATCGTTCTTCACCGGATATGGCGGAGGAACGCTCACCTCTCTCCTCCTGCATGTGCGTGCCTCACTCTACCTGTGCTCCCTAGTTATTTGAAACCACGTGGGGGAACAGGTACATCCTCAATTCGCTCAAACATTTAACCGAAGCACTTTCAAGCTGTAGTATTCTCGGTGCTAGCATCTCTTATTCACCCGTATCTCCGCTCCTCTCTGCTGCGCCACACCACAGGATCACTTTGTGTGGCTGCGCAACGACTCCGTCCTCCTGCTCTTCGCCCTCTGCTGGTATGCTGATTGTTTTGCTGCCACGCGGCTTCCTCTGCTGCTACGCTGCCACCTCGTCCTCTACTGCTTCGTCTGCTCACCGCTGCTATTGCATGGCTCTTATTGTTCCCCTTGGTTGCATTCAGAAAATGCGAGCACCCCTCGTCCATGCTGTGTACCCATCCACTCCGCCCATCCATGGCATCACACTGAGATCCATGTGTCTCCATGCAGGTGGGTCATCACATACTCTCCATACGACGTGGGGATTCGCCTCTATGCCCTCACACCTGTCAAGGTGCACATGGGTCCTAGCTGCATGTGAACTCGCGCTGCAAGCATGTGAACTCAGGCTTCCAGTGTTGGTGCTTTTCCCCAGTCTCACCCAGTGTCTGGGTCTTTGAGTTGAGGGGCCTTGATATGTGCCCTTCTCTCGTGCCTCAAAACTCGCCAACTCGGCACACGCAGGAGCAATTCTTGTGAACCTCTTAATGTGCCCCGCCCTTGCGAACCGTGGCTGCCTTTTGTCGTCTCTTACCCTTTTCCCCCCCTGCCCTCTCCCCGCCTGCCCTCTCCCCGCCTGCCTTCTCCCCTCCTGCAGCTACTAGCACGGGTGACAGCAAGCATAGCGCGCACAGGCGTCGTCATTTCCAGAGTAATTCCACTACTGCCACCTGCTCTGTGCTGCTACCATGTGATCTCTGCTGCTGTCTACTCAATGATTGCTAATGCCATTATCACTTTTCGGTTTCATAGTGCATTTCAATCTTATCCTCCCAATCCAGCCAACTCTCTGAGCTGTGACTGCACTGCTGTCTGTGCTGCAATGTGCATGCATCTTACACGTCACCCCACCCGTGCTTGTCTCACCTGCTGTCTTGTTCCTTGTGCCTTCCTCCCATCTCCACACCTCATCATCCTCCCCCCCACGCCACCTCCTCAGTCTCCCTTCCTCCCTCACTCATGATACGTCCTTACCCCCCCCCCCCCATCTCACCTGTGACTCAACCCCCCCCATCTCACCTGTGACTCAACCCCCCCCATCTCACCTGTGACTCAACCCCCCCCATCTCACCTGTGACTCAACCCCCCCCATCTCACCTGTGACTCAACCCCCCCCATCTCACCTGTGACTCAACCCCCCCCATCTCACCTGTGACTCAACCCCCCCCATCTCACCTGTGACTCAACGCTCCACGCTCTTGTCGCTCTTGGGGGGGGATGCAGATTGACAGGGCAGTTGTGCTGTTTGGGAAGCATGCTGTGGTGGCTCCTGTCTTCATTGGCACACTCGCAGGTACGGCACTCTCCCCACCCCACCTGTACCCTTAGTGTTTCCCTTCCCACACCCCCTTCCCTTTTTGTGTTTCACTCCCCCCACCACCACCGTCCACCAGGCTGTGGCGGTCGCGTTGTCTTGAACCTCCTTCTCGCCCTCCCCACTCCCCTCCTCATCACGCTCTCTCCTTGCATCACGCTGTGCTTTGGCTCTTGTCTGCATCCCTCCCTTCCCCTCGTCCACTCCTCACCCCACTCTCCCCCATCACCAGGCTGTGGGGGCCGTCTCATCTTTGACCTCGTGCTCGCCCTCCTCACTGCATCGCCTCCCTCTCGCGCTGAGCTGCTCTACCCTTCCTGGTGTGTCTGCCTGTGCTGTGCTGCTTGCACATGCGTGGGATATGAGAGGGGAATGTTTTCAAAGCAAGAGATCTCGCGAGCAAGTCAGGAGGCAAAGTTGTTCTTGACTTCCGAACGGGCAGAGACAATGCATGCATGGTTGGAGCATGAGCCATGCGCACAATGCTGCAGTGCGTATGCTATGGCTTTGCAGTCTTTCTTTCCTCCACCACTGATTTTTTTACATGAACCCCCCCAACCGCAATCGATCGTCTTCCCTCCTGTCGCACCCCATGTTCTTTCCCCTGAGGCTCTCCCACTCGCCCTCTCTCTCTCATATCGCTCTGGCTGTCACTCAGGACTGCCTCAGGGACGAGACGATTTGAGAAACTCATCCAGAATCACCTCTTACTCCCTTTCCTCCCCCCCAGGCTCTCCCGCTCCGCATGTCTCATGTCACTGGCCTACACTCGAGCCTTTCACTGGACCGCCTGCTGCAATGAAACAAGTTTGAGGCGCCTCTACATCATCTCATAACCCCCTCCTCCTTCCCCCCTCCCCCACCCCCAGGCTCTCCCGCTCGGCATGCATCATGGCACTGGGCTACACTCTAGCCGTCCACTGGGCTGCCTGCTGCACCTCCCAGGCTGCCTTTGCTGCCATCGCCTCCCTCCTCGTATGCTCCTGCCCTGCCCTGCCCTGCCCTGCCCTGCCCTGCCCTGCCCTGCCCTGCCCTGCCCTGCCCTGCCCTGCCGTGTCCTCCCTGCTCGTACGCTCGTTGCTTCCCGGGCGCTGTTACTCTCTTGTCATGACATGACATCGATTGTTTCCCTGTGTTCCGTACTGGTCGGCTCTGGCTTTGCTACGGATTTGGTATCCTACCCTTCTCTCCATTGCTCCACTGCCCTCCACTCGTCCTCCCACCCCCAACCTCGTCCGCCCATGCTGCTATTGTTTCCCGCCTGTTTCTGAACATAAAAGTTGAAAACTAATATAGGTAGAGAGGAGATTTGACGAAAAAAAAGAAAGAGACGACATCAAGTGAGGAACGCGAATTCAGTCCAAGAGAAATGAGAGGGAACCCGGTTCCTTAAACCCAAACTAGCAAAGTGGCCAACTAGAGGAGATTAGGCGAGCACATTCCATCAGGTGCTTTGGGCAAGCTTCACCACTTCGCTTCCTATTTTTCTGCCTCTCCTCTTCCTCTGTGCCCCTCCCCCCCCTTTCCAGATGGCCCACAGCGCATGGGAGGTCATTTCAGGCTCGCCTTGGGACCCCACTGCACCGCTCTCCACCCTCTTCCACTCCCTGCTGTCAGTCCTCCCCGTTGTCGCCTTCCCTCTCTTCTCCTTGCCCTCACCTTTCGTGCACTCCCTATCAACCCATTCCCCTCACCTGGTTTGCCACCCACACAGCTGCTTGCACTAACCTCACACAGGGCGGTCGCACTTGTCCACATTTCATGTTGCGACATCCTCGTGCTTATCACTTGCTTATCACTTACTTATCACTTGCTTATCACTTACTTATCACTTGCTTATCACTTACTTATCACTTGCTTATCACTTACTTTCCGCCTGGTGATTTCTCACATATTCCCCGCCTCTCTCCGCTCCCCACCATTTTCTCCACTCCCTTATACCTCTCCACAAGCCATCCCACCGCTCCTCACTCATTCCTCCGCATCTATCCCCCTTTTCACTCCTCTTCTTAACTCTCTCCACTCACTCATCCCTCATGTCTCCCTTCCCTCATCTCTCATCCCTCTTCTCACTCTTCCCTCCCCAAATCCAGGTGCATCCCACTCCCTCCTGCCACCGTCCCATCACCCAAGCCGTCCACCACCACACCATCACCTGCTCAACCACTTCCCCATCCTCCAACCCAACTCAACGCCCACAGCAGCAGCACCAAAGGGCAGGGTGCATCTCAGGGCACACAGCAGCAGAGGCGAGGGGAGGGGGAGAGCAGCAGTCGGTTCGAGAGCACTCCTGTGGGAGGCAAAGCTGCCCGGCACCGGAAGCCTCAGCGGGCGTGAGCCCTGCGGCTGATTCTGGGGGCCCCTCGAAAAAGGCTGACCGTGGGTTTGGAAGCATTCCTGCCAGAGGCAAAGCAGTGAGGTACAGGAAGCCCTGGCAGGCATGAGTGAGCCATGCGGATTGCTTTAAGACAGTTGGTTGGGAAGCGTTTTTGTTAGATTCGAGACAGAACAGCCACGACGGGAAGTCCCAGCGGGTGTGAGCCCTGCGGCTGATCTGAGGTCTCAAAAGAAAGGCATCTGTTGGTCGAGAAAAACTACTGTAATTTTGATTGATTTATCAAGAGTTTTTTCAAAGAGCTGTTTCTTATGTTGTCTGAGCACTCTGAGCTTGTGCATTCCCACATCTGATTTTCCAAAAACTTGTTAACATACCATCAGCCCCCGGATCAGGGCTGACTATTCAAAAAAATCCAGTCTGATGTTCTGGGGGCTCTGAAAATTTTTAGTCTGAGGCATATTTCCCAGAGAATGGCCACTCTGATTTTTCAGGTTCCGCAAAAACACAAGTCTGAAGTACTCAGAACACACTACAACCACTGCAGTACAGTACTGCCACAAATGTAGCACGTGGGGCGCAACGCTAACCAGTTTCCCTCGCTGACACCGCGTAGCTGCAGTGATGGTCCCGCGTGAGTGGAAGAGTGAGCCAAGTTGGCAGATTTCTAAGGGAAAAGGGTGGCAAAAGTTGCCAAGGACAGATTCTGCGCGTGACAGCGCCATGAAGTGTGTTCGTACACTGGCAACATATGACGTAGCGGAATGTACGTAGAAATCACAGATCCGCATTTCAGGATCCGTACTCCCTGCAGGGCCTTCTTTTGGTTTTTCGGTACTCTGGTTTTCAGAGTAGTTTTTATGCGAACTCTGAAATCCAGAGTGGTTCCTACGCCTTACTCTGAGCTGACAGAGTAACCCTATTACGTGGATTAAAAACCCTGGCACGTCAGAGTAATTTTTTTTTGTACTCTGATCGTAGTGTAAAATGTTGTGTGAGAAGTATGGAATGGGAGTATTGTTTTTCCAACTGTTTTGCGTTTTGTTGTCACTCACACGGTTCAGTTCAGTCACGAATGTATTTCATAATTGAATGTAATATAGGAAATCCGATACTAACTAACTAATAAAGAGGAGGCCCTTGGGCTACACTAGTAGTAGTCATCCTCGCCCTCCGATTCCGCATCAGACTCGATCTTCGCCTTCCCCCTTGCGCAAACTGGTGCGCCGTGCGCAGGTTTCTTGGCGGGGCGACGCTTCTTCTGATTGCGCCAGATGTCAACGACTTCATGCCACACGAAGTCGTACTGGAGCATGTGGATGCTCATCAGCTCTGTCAGACGAGCGTCGTTGAGTGACGTGCGTATCCAGCTCTTGATGACGTTCTGCCTGCTGAACCCACGTTCGCACTCAACAGTGCTGAGCGGTAGCACGGACAACGCCTGCCACATCAGCATCAGGTTGGGGTACGTGCGAGCCCAGTCGCGCGTCTTCAGCATGTTTTGGAGCCCCTGATGAAAGTCCTCGTCCTCGTGGTGGTTCTTGAGGATGTGGCAGAACGTCTTCAGCTCGAGCTCTGCTGCCCGCAAGTCGAAACCTGCGCGCAGGGACAAATTTGGGTTTTAAACTGAAATAATTTACTGATAGCAGAGCTTAGCCAAACAACACCAGACATGCGCAACTGACAAAGTGTTCTAGATTCTCACCGGGCAGACAGTTGTTGAACAGCACAGAGTTTTGCCGAAGCCACATGAGGCAGCGCCGCTCGCGTGTGTCGAGGTTGGGGGGCCACGATTCCACCTTGAACAGCCTCGTCCCGCCCATGCGACGAAGATCCGCCATCCGCTCGGTGAGATTATGGACGGTCTGCTTGGCGAATGCCTTGCACATCTTCTCGCAGTCGCGCATTGTTCCACCAAACTTGTGGCCAGCGATGGGCGCCTCGCTTAGAACAATCTCCTGGCTCACTGCGCGGCCGTTGGAGTCCACGCCCTCCACTTTCAGCTCACGCTTGCCATCCCTGTGGCGCTCCAGGAAAGGCGACAGCTGTGGGCTAAGGCCCTCCCCGAACTTCGTCTCGTAGTCGATGTAGTGGTGTTGGATGTACGACACCGTGCGGTCCACCTCCTGCGCCACGATTGTGACGTCCACCTGGGCGGAGGGCGGGAGGGTTTGAGATAATACAGCCAAACATAATAAGTTCACATTACAGAGTAAACAAACGTGTAAACCACCAGGCAGAAGTGGGAAACAGCGTCGAGATAATACTGCATAACATTACCTTTCGCCTCTGGAAAAACCGGTTCAGATTGTTGAGCTCGGCCAAGATGTCTGCCAGAAAATAAACGCAGAAGTGAAACTTCAACGTCTGCACGGTGCTGGCTATCTTGTGCTCGTACTCGATGAAGACGCAGATCGCCGCCCCAAGAACCCGGCACATCCGCAGCACTGCCTCGCCCCGTGCCAGCCAGCGCACGTTGTGGAGCCCCTGGTGCTCTAGATTGGTCTTGTGGTACACCTGCTGCAACTCCTTGAACCGCTCATGTTGACTTCCCGACGATCGACCCGAGGGCCCTGATGGCGTCGTCCACGATGTTGAAGTCTGGATAGGCCTCTGCTGCATTCTTGACAGCTAACGCTTCTCTGCACGGTAGGGAACAGGGGGTTGCAGAGTAGGATATGTAAACAAAAAGAAAATCACATAGACTCAGAGAGATGTTTTACCGTGTTAAAATACCAAAAACATTTTGGAATAATAACACACCTGTGCGCGATGCAGTGGCACCCGACGAGATGCGCAATCTGCATGCGAAGGCGCGTCACAAGCCCAGTTTCCGATCCGACCATGACAGAGGCGCCGTCTGTTGACATCCCAACAATTTTCTGAAGGTCGATGCCGATGGTCTCCAGATGTTGGAGCAGAACGGCATGCAGCGACGCCGCGTCACATTGAGTGACGGTAAGGAGCGTCAAGAACTCCGTTACCACCACGCGGTCCTTCAGGAAAGTGACAAACACAATCATGTGTTTGCCACGAGCGCAGTCTGTGCTCTCGTCGCACATGATGCCAATGTATGGCGACGAGTGCACGTGTCGCATTTGCTCGCGGTGAAGGAAAGTGGTTAAAGCCTTTACCATTTCCGAAAAGCCGTACCTGGCCACAACCAACGGTTCGTTGTTAGTGCATATTGAAAAAAAAAAGGAAAATCAAGGAGTACGGGGTTCAACATCAAGTGAGACTCACTGTGTGATGTACACGCCGTAAGACTGTCGCGGTATGTCGGCGACGCCCTCCTCAGCAAGAAACTGCACGAGCCTGGGGTACATCTGAATCGGTGTGTCCGTCTTGCACACAAACACGATGCTCCGCATTAGCCGCGAAATCCGCGCGCCCTCCGGATCGCCCTTCGCAAAGTCATCGATGCGTTTCTGCTCCTCGATGTTCTTCATCAGACCCATTTGCTTCTTCATGGCATCGTCGTGCTTCACGCTCTCCTCGTGCCAGCGAAAGGACCCAATCTGGAGGTCCCGACCTCCTTTCCCATTGCGGCCGTAGCGAGCATCGTCCTTCCCTTGCTCTATACAGACACTGCAGCGAACACAAGGGAAACCGTCAGTCGATTTATCAAGGATTAACCATGGGAACCGCGGAAGCCATTCCGACGTGTAGCCTTTCTGGGCCTTCAAATACAACTTCTCCTTCTTCTCCTCTGCGGCGAGTCGGACTACAGGTGTTGTTTTCTTGGCAGGTGGCGGCGGAGTCGGTGCAGGCTTAACGGGCTGCAGACCAATCCCGAGCTTGGACTGCGTGAAGCGCCGCTTCTTCGGCGTCTGTGAGGCGGTCGAGTCTGGAACAGACGCATCCACGACCTGTGTTGGTGCTGTCTCGGCCGGTTCAGCGATGCTTGGGTGGTGCGATCCATCGCACACCTCGTTCTGTCCGTCGTGGTCTTCATCTTCTTGGCGTGGCGAGCGAACCCACACCTCGACCCCATCGGAATGCTCGTCGTCGTCCGGTCCATCCCGACGATACCAATCGTCGCCTCCCCAGTAGTCACCACCGCCATCTTGCTGGTCGCCGGCGTGCTCGTGGGAACGATGTAGCCTGCGCAGAAACTCCATACCTGTGATGGGGCGAGAGCTGCATGACGGGCCGGGATCAGGATCAGGCGCAGCAGTGTCAGCGTGGTCTGCGTCGTTAGCCATCTGTGGCAAGGCTGCAGGAGAAGGGTGGCTTGAGGCGTGGTAGTGATGCTGGGTACCTTAAGCCTGATCACGGATTGTGGAAATGGATGGAGAAACACGGGTTCACCCCCCGGTGAGCCAGCCGAGCACTAGCAGGGCTTGGCCGCGCCGCCCACGTTTACACATTCCGTGCGCTGTATCATTCCTTGATCCTGACTGAAGTTCAGATGTGTAACAGTGTGCGCTGGCTGGGAAAACTGCCACTCCAGCCAATCAGCTCGCAAAATGCCGCCAACACACGAAGCGAATCTTGATGAAGTGCTCGGCGACTCGGTTTAACCCCGGTAATTGGGGAAAGGGGGGGGGGGGGGGGGGAGGGGGGGGGGGGGGCTAGGGGGCCTGTATCCTCTGTACAGAGTAAAAAAAACCCTGGGGCCTCAGAGTGAACTATATCTCAACTCTGATACATCAGAGAAAACACAACTCCCAAAATCATAACCCAGCAGGTACAGAGTCCCTCTAAAAAACAACTCTGATTTTCAGAGAAACAGAGTGATTTACTCTGATAACGTGGGCCCTGACTCCCTGTAGTATGAAGACCCATTATCGGCTAAGTCAGTACTCTGAAAATCTCAGGATCCAAAACCAAGTAAGTCTGAGGCACTCATGTTTGAAAATCTTACAAGTCTGAAAAATCAGGATTCGTAGGAAAATACCCTGAGATTTCAGACAATCAGACTATTTTAGTCTGATAAATTCAGCCCTGCCCCGGATAGAAGCGCCCCTGGGGGTATAAAAAAACACTGTTTTTTAGGGGG